TATTCCGCTTGACATTTTACATTAAGAAGTTAATTCACTCGGGTAAAACTCAACCCCTCATCCTACAGTTCGTAAACTCTTGCATCCTACCTATTCTTCTTTATTGCTCACCCTTATTCTTTCCTGGTTTGCTTAAAAAAGACTATGTCACAATTCGTAGAATACTGAAGACTGTCAGTTGAGTGAGTGGTGTCCCAGTGGACCACATAGTTAACGTCTTTGTCGATAGGCATTTGACTTCGTGCAATAAATTTGCTAAAGGGATTTTGTCTGACTTGGAGCATCCGCTTTACCCTCAGCTTTCACCCTGCATCTCCTCAGGTAGAACAAGAAGTAACTTCAGAAAACTGTATGCTCGCACGTCTAAGTATAGGAATTCTATGATACCATACTTGGCACGTATTTTATGTGTTGAAAATAGTGTCAGGAAAGGATTAACTAACCTTTTTTCATCTAGTAAATAAACAATTTCCTCCATCCATCCTTACATACCTTCAAGTTTTACTTTTATTACTTCTATTATATTTATGGTCCTGTTAATTCTCTGTTTTACTCTCATAATTGCAAACACCAACTTATCTCCATGACGGCTGTAATCTATGTTTTTTTCCTTCACCATATCATGTAGAAAGAACATTATATTCAATATTTTTTAACATGTTAGGATTTCTATACCACATTGCCAATACTGTGTGACACAAGTCAACGGCAATTTTCACTTGTATTATTATTATTATTATTACTACCCTAGCTGTTATCATTATTATTGCTATTTCCATTTTATATGCTGCATGTTTTTGACACTACCTCTATTGTAAATGTGGAAATTTTTCTGTGTGATTAATTTTTATTTATAATTTGAGGAAATTAGATGCAATATTGTGACTAATGCTGAAAATTCCAATCTGTATCACAAGTACTGTTTTTGGAATAAAGTAAATCATTATTATTATTACCCCCGGCTTTTTTAAAGATGGTGGCGAGACTCTCACAATGGCTCTAACCGGGCTGTTCAGGAAGGTATGGGAGACAGTGAGTGTAACATCAATGTGGAACGAAGCCATTATCGTCCCTATCTTTAAAAAGGGTCGGCGTAATTCGTGTGACAATCATGAGGGTATCAATCTTCTACCAGTCGCGTCTAAAATATTGGCTGCCGTCTTGCTTCGCAGGCTGTGCAAAATACGTGAAAGATTGATTCGCGAAGAGCAGGTTGCATGATGCATTGGCCATGTGTTCACCCTGCGTCAGTTGTTGAAACACCGCTACACGTATTGCAGGCGAACGATCGTTGTGTTTCTCGATATTAGGGCTGCCTTCGATTCGTTGGACAGAACTGTGCTCCGGAACTGTCTGTTATAGAGAGGCGTATCTGAGAAATTTGTTAACATTTTGAAAGCCGTATACAGAAACACCTCAGGTAGAGTCTCTACCACTCAGTGCGACACTGACACCAGCTACACCAACACCACAGGCTCCCTGGATAAGCGCAGGTGGTACATAATACTAGAACTTCCAGACGGAGAGGATAGTCGAAGCACTTCACTGGGATCTTGAATGCGGGTCTCCAAAATGCAGGAGACATCGATAGCGAGGCTTTCCAAAGTTTTCCGATTTGCATCAGCGTCCGAATATTGAAGGTGGCCAACTTGAACGTGGCACGCGGTTTCAGGATGTCTGTGTTAGATGTCGCATTGGGGACAACCATTTCGAAGGCTACTCACTAATATTTCGAAACGACACAGAGAGGCTGGGAATCTCGACAAAAGCGAAAGGCTGTCGAAGGTTAAGAAGCCAAGGTCAGCATTAGTAAAATACAGGAAATTATGTATAAAAATAAAAGTAGGGTAGGAAGGACATGAGTTACTTGAGGCATAAATGTTACTTGAAATCATTGTTAATAGCGGGCGATGAGTTTCAATGGGATTTTGTTGCTTCTTTCATTCATTGTGCGAGGGCTGAGATACTGCCAAGGCGCCCAGACCCAAGCAGGTGGTTTTATTAAGGGACCACCCCGAAGCCTTTGACTTAGAGTCTAATCCGCAAGACAGCAGAGCAGCGTCAGGAGCTGCATTCTCATTGTTTCCGGTTACCCATATGGGTTCATATGCCATTTGATCCGATTGGTTACTGGAGCAAACGTACCCCATGGTAACTGCTTTTAGTCTAACCGCTATCCAGAAAACCTTCCTGACATGGCAGGGCCTGCAGGGACAAGGTACCAGTCAGTTTTGCTTCTTCGGTCATTGCGGTATTCAAGCCCGACCACCACGACAGGGTAGCAGTTTTCGGCAGGGTCAAAACTAATTATCGCGTTGTATCATATGATGAATACATATAAAGTGACTACCTGATGATGGTGAAGACTACAGGTTGGTAGATCAGGAGGAATATGCGCACCATTTGTTACTCTGGACAACTGTTAGGCGAACCACGTGTGTATGCCTGTAATACACAGTGGTAATTGCGTCATAACAAATTGGCCTGGTTAACTCCCTGAGTTCGGCTTTGAGGTTGCTGTTGAATTTTAAGTGGAAACATGATATCAGAGACGACTAAGTGTATCTAGTCCGTGATTTTACTTCACCCAGTTGACAGAAGTGTCCTTTTGACATCAGGTGAGAGCACTGCACTGTGAGATGATGGACAGGGAGTGTACTGAGTATTTTCAGGTTGCGACATCAACAGGTCAGTTGCCGGAGCATGGGCCGAAAACAAGGGGAGGATAACTCCCAACTCATGCGATTGATCCATTCTTGTCATTACCGTAAGTGTCGGGGCTGGTGCGGCAGACCGACAATTGTGCAGGAGATTTCCTCGACTGTAAGCCTGAATATTCATGTAATGGAATGAATAGATTGCTATACTACTGTTAAACTGATGTTGTAAAAATTGGTTTTGGTGCAACCCGTCTATGATCCGAATTATTGTATGAAGTAGTTGAATCAATCACGAAAGTTTACTGCAATAGTTAATCAGTGGCATTGTTGAGGTTGTCATCAATACCACCAGTATATGTTCATGGTCATAACTCGTGATTGTTTCAGTACAACCTCGTGCCGTGTCGTATACCGGTTGAATTACGCAGGCAATACGTGTGTGGCTTCCGGGACAAGTGAACGTTATTTTGTGATGGTATACCTGTGTGAACTGATTTCTGCATGTGGCAGTTACGTGTCTGCATTGCTGTTTCAAAATGAGAGAAGATACATTGGTCGTATCATTCAGTCTAATAAGCATAGTCGCCAGAAGTACAGAACGAAACAAACTTAATGTCTGAGAGTAGATTTGACTGGTAAGGAAATGTGGGCCATACGATAGCGATTGCACTAAGGCTTTTTCGCCATCCAAGCAGATTGCATGCCCCATTTATTTCAAGATTGCACAGAAGCACTATCAAAGTACCGTCCGTGTGGCGTTAGCCAACAGAAAACTTCACCACTTATGAAATCAGGACTTTTGATTCAGGTTACCAAGAAGTGAAGAGGTACTAGGACTCAGTCCATCACAACCTAATAAAGAAACCTATGAGGTTAGTTATCTTCTGAACTCAGATTTGTGAGATATCTGAACGGTTCAAATGCATCCTCAACGAATACGCAAGTCTATTCGCCATAAATCACTCCAAAAGACTTAATTACATGTAAAAGTGCAATAAATTATTCACTCGGGACCACTAACATCATTCAGTGAAGTGGCTCGAACGAGACTCTCTGAGATCATTAGAACTAAATATACGGTGGAACACACAGACATGTTCACAGAGCCCGTACAATGTACGTAGCACGATGAAGATTAAAGCATGCGTATATCATGCTCCGAAGGGGATAAACTTGTCAAAACTACACGACACGAATCGTGATTGATATAAAGCGAGAAAAACAATTCGATATTGCAAAATGTGGATCAGCGTTGTCAAATCAAGACTTTTCCCACCTATCTGTAAATTGTTCAGGCACCGTCGAAGAGAACAAGACAGTGGGTTGAATGGTGTGGTTGTCGATATAATAGTTTCACCCGTGGTGTGTCGCTAAAACAGTGAATTCCAGCACACAATGTAGCTGGTATCACTGATACTTCGTAGAATACCTGTTTTCCGATTGAAGAATACCGGCGAAAGAAACCTGGTAAAGATATTACGCTAATCTTGAAGGTGAACATTTCTTAAGGGATAGTGACAGTGTATAGAAATTTAAGACTCCTGAGTTTCTTAATATTAACTTGAAGCTAAAAGCTGGAACTCCACTGACTGTTTTGCTGAGGGCTATATTGGCTTTCTGTTCTTGTGTTAAATTAGACATGCATGCTAACTAATCTGAAGGATTTTTATACTTTGCACCTAAACATCGAATTGTTTCAGCATATCGAGAAAAGGCGCACAAGTTGTAGGAGGGCACTTTGAGATTACGCGACTCCCTGTAAGTCGTTTACCTTGTGTTTGGTCTACACTGCTGACCTCGTTCGTCTATAAGAATTCTACGTGCTTTTCCTCCCTAACCGGAAATATCCAATTTTGTGAATTATTCGTTTGGGAAACCTGATCTTCCTATCCGGCGAATTTTTATTCAACCATTTCTTCCTCACCGAGCCTGTGTGTGGTACTTCCCGCTGTCTCGAACTACTGCCAAAGCTTCAGGTGCTACTTCTGTAGCAACACCCTCCTCACTCTTTCAAATATACAGGACTTGTGGGTCTGTTACGTGATTGCTGTGAAACCGAATAACCCGAAAGTTACAGGTAAAGTCTAAAGCTTTTACTTACATACTTTATCCTTCTTTTCTGCGCTCTCTATTGTCTTTTGCTGTAAGTCTATTGGACAAAATAACAGTCTCTTATTATTTAATCACCAGTATTAATTTAGGAGTAAAATGACAATAGATTCTCAACCTAAAATAAGTAATGGGACATCATACTCTGTAGTTACCAGGGCTTCAGCCAAACTAGGCAAACAGGAGAAGGTGATGGACTCACGCATACCGGTCCTGAAGACCAGGGCTAATATTCCCAGCTCGTACAGATTACCCATGTCGCCACAGTCCTACAGTGAAGCTGTGCAAAGTCAGCCAAGTGGATGTGGCTCCACCCCTGTTAACACGACTAGGTTAACAGATCCGAGTGGGAAAATTGCACTAAGTGAGAACTTCATAACACCCATCCCCATGGTAGACCATGAAACAAATAGGAAGGCCAAAAAGAAACGTTCACGACGTCGCAAGACGACAAGAACGCTCCCCAAGAAGACAGACGACTGCAAGGTCTGTGCTTCTGTTGTCGAACAAGCAGACTCTGCCTTCGAATGTAACTTTTGCAACCGATGGGTGCATTGCAGATGCGACAGTGGGGTACCAAAAGCATATTATGACTTTATGCGTAAAAACCCATGCCAATGGTTCTGGTACATATGCCCGAGTTGCCGTCCTGATGTAGCCTCGCGTAGTCCTTTGAAAACTAAAGGTGGCACAGAAGTAGCGGGGAAAAAGGTGAAAAGCTCGACCCCCACCAATCCGGAAGTTAGTACAAACGCGAGTAAACCGGGGATACCAAAATCCTCACCGGTTAAACTTGTAACTCTTGCCATAACCGCTCCAGACACAGAGGCTGGAGAACCACGGGTTTCCGTCGTTGGAAAAAGACCCCAACCGTCTACCAGTAATGCTGGCTTTAGCACTGAGACACATAAAAATACCCAGTCGCACCAGTCAAACCAAAACGGTCTTAAAGGTGATCACAAACGTGCGAGGACCGAGCCCAAGCCCACGGTTAGCAGATCAAATTGTGTAATCCTCTTTAATGTACCAGACTGTAGCAGTAGTCTGCTGAAAGATAGGGCCCTATTTGATCAGGAACAGTGGTCCATCTTAAGTAGCACACTGGGTTTGGACATCCAACCAGTAAATCTATGCAGATTGTATAGGGGCACTGCTGCACCTGAAGGCAAACCATCCCCACTGAGGGTAACATTGAGCTCTACCGAGGATGTTGAAAAAGTGTTACTGGCTTCTCAAGTCCTTTCTATAGGGAGGGCCTGTAACATACGTGTTAAGCCAGACAGGCCGTGGAAGGAAAGACAAATGGCGAGGGAGTCGCCAGAGCTCATTCCTTCTGCCTCCATGGTTGTGCATGGCATTCCCGAACTGGTAACTGGGAACGCCTGCGAAAAGCATTGTCATGATGTACAACAATGGAGATGGTTAGCATCCCAGATGGCCCTGGGAAGTTCAGGGGCTGTCTCTATTTATAGACTGCCTCGACCCACTCATCTTATGTCAATTAACTCGCCACGTCTGTTAGCTGTCAAGTTCAGCTCCCAAGACCAGTTGACTACCGCTCTCCATAGATGGTACGAGACCAAGGACAAGGTCAGCAAACACATTCGCTGCTGCGAGAGCCGGCCTCGCACTCAAAGGAGAGAACAAAGCGTAGTAAAAGAAAATCCTCAACCCCTAGTCACACTACAGCGGTGCAGCACGGACGATGATAGCCAGTGTCATCCGAGTGCTCCAACTGAACTAGAAGAAAAAAACGCCAACAGGCCGGTTCCTGGGGAATCGGCCAACTAGTTCGTAGGATAACTCCTCAACCGATAGCCAATATCAAGTCAACTACCCCCCAATACGGGGAAGTGGTGAGACTGACTACCAGTTGCCTGTATAGTAATGTGAGAGGGCTAAGAGGCAAAATAGCTGAACTTAGACACCTACAATCACAACTAAACTCCAAAATCATAATACTGACGGAAACCTGGCTAACCCCTACGGTGGCAGACAGCGAAGTCAGTATAAATGATATGGTCCTAGTCAGGCGAGATAGGGACCTGAAAGAAGGAGGTGGAGTCGCCATATACGTCGACAAACAGCTCAGATGTGTTCACGCGACGGACCCTCCCCTCACAGAGCTCCCTGACTCCATATGGTGCCACTTCACCGTTGGGTACTGCAAATATCTAGTGGGCAGCATTTATCGATCACCTTCATGTGGAGCAGACCATAACCAGGTACTGCTAAATACAATTTCAGCGACTCAAGACATGGGTTATGATCAAATTGTCATAGCTGGTGACTTCAATGCCCCATCTCTTAACTTGGTGTCGGGAAAAGCCCATGATAGATTTGATCGAAATCTGCTGCATACCATCAGGAAGGCTGGATTCACTGAAAATGTCAAGATGGATACTAGATGGGGCCCTGATGGGAAGTCTTCTAGACTGGATTACGTGCTCACTAGTGACCAGCTACTAGTGGAAAACGTTCAGATCACGACTCCCATAGGTAGTAGTGACCACGCGGTCATAGTATTCGACATAGTCCTCCGCGAGCGCTTACAGTGGGACAATACACAGCCCTATCTGTGTTATAACAAAGCCAACTTTACCAAAATGCGAAGACTTCTGTCTGAAGCAAACTGGCCTAAAAAATGGACAGAGCTAACAGTAGAAGAACACTGGAGAGTGGTAAAGGAGATCATTCACCAGGCGGTCTCAGACACTGTTCCTTTAGTCTCACCAAAAGCTAGGAAGCAACGATCATGGCTGAAAAGGGGACACAACGCCTTCTGCAGGCAAAGCGTAAAGCCTGGTTCGCGTGGCGACGATCGAAGAGTCAACCCGAATATGAAGTGTACCTTGAACTCAGGAATCGATGTAACATACGAGTCCGGAGCGATAGAAGGACATTTCAGGGAGACCTCGCCAATAAGCTTCTCGTGAACCCCAAAAGCCTATACAGGTTTATGGCCGAAAGAAAACCGACCAACCAGGGAGCATGCAATCTAGTGGGTTCTGATGGGAAATCTCTTACTAGTCTTGAAATGGCAGAGACATTCAGCCTAGCCTTTCACAGGCAACTAAATAGTAACGAGGATATTACCCCTACAGAACATCCAGATTACATCGCAGAACCAACACACGAAAACCTGCTGGGGACATTTCAAATTACCCCGGCTATGGTACTTGCAAAATTGGGAAGGTTGGCTTCGGGAAAGTCTCCAGGTTGTGATGGCATCAGACCATCTGTCCTGAAGCAGTGTTCAGAAAGTCTCTGTCAACCCCTAAGTGATCTGTTCCAACACTCCCTTGATGTAGGGAAACTTCCATGTGAATGGAAACGTGCAATCCTATCCCCTATCTTCAAGGGTGGTGACCGGCAGAATGTGACCAGTTACAGACCAGTTGCTCTACTTCCAGTGGTATCGAAGATATTGGAAAGTCTCATTGACGACCACATGAGAAAATACTTCGATGGGACTAACCTTCTTCACGAAGCACAGCACGGTTTCAGGAGGGGAAGATCCTGCGTGACGAATCTTCTACTAGCCTGGAACGATTGGACACTATCCTGGGACAAAAAGGTACCAGCCCACGTGATCTTTCTCGACTTTGCGAAAGCATTCGACACAGTTCACCATGGTCTGCTCCTTCACAAAATAGGCAAGGCGGGAGTTTCTGGAGCACTTCTCGCATGGCTGACAGATTACTTAGGCGAGAGAGAATTCTGCACCAAAGTCAACCGCATCCGATCATCTTGGCACACCTCGGCATCAGGGGTTCCTCAGGGTTCTATCCTAGGGCCGTTGATGTTTTTGATTTTTATCAATGACCTGCCCCCCCAACTAAACTGCTCTGCGCTTCTTTACGCTGACGACGTAAAGATTTGGAGAGCAATAAACTCATCGGAAGACTCAGATAGATTGCAGGCTGACCTGCAAACTCTGGGAAATTGGGCTTTGGCTAACGGAATGCCTTTCAATCTAAAGAAGTGCAAAGTAGTGCAGCTTCATTCCGGCAGGTCACAGAGTGTAAATTACACCCTTGGTGGCCAGAACTTGAGTTGTGTTCCATCAGAGCGTGATCTAGGTCTTATTCTAACAGAAAAGCTAGACACCAGTGGAAATTACTCGAGGGACGTCGCCAAAGCCTACGCAACATTACACTTTATGCACAGGCAGCTGGGAGCTCTCACTCCCGAACTGTTCTTAAGGCTATACAAGGCATATGTGAGGCCACACCTTGAGGTGCATAATATCATTGCACCTCCGCTACTCAAAAGGGATGCTAACATTCTAGAAAGTGTCCAGAGACGAGCGACAAAATGGGTGATCGGCCTCCGCAACAAATCATATGAGGAAAGACTAAAGAAATTAGGTCTTTTCACACTCAGTTACCGTAGGCACAGGGGAGACCTCATCACCGTCTACAAGATCCTAAATGACCAGGCCCACCCAAATAAAAGCATCCTGCCATTAAGCGATTATAGGCTTCCACGAGGTAACCCGCTAAGGATAGCACACCAGAGACCAAAGACTCGAGTGCGATCACATTTCTTTTCGCTTCGTGTTTGCCGTCTCTGGAACGCTTTACCGGCGGCCGTGACTACAGCGCCATCTGTGGAGATTTTTAAGCGGAAGCTAGACAATCATGCAGAAATGCAAGGTTTGTGTCTCAATGGCTTATCCTCATAAAATTTGAAACCAAACTGTCAATGAATAAGCGTACTAACTAAATCCCCACGACCTATTCTGCCTTCTCTCACTCTATCTTTTCCTTAGGTCACCTTTATTATTCCACTTATCTCAACCTATATTATCTACACTACAACCTATTATTATTATTATTACTATTCTGCTTTTATGACTACACCGAATGACCAAGGGGAGTTAGGTCAAACTCCATTCACGGCAGCAATACAGTCCTAACATACTGCATACTACAAACCACATCTCGACCAATCCCCGCACCACTCCTCCTGGAGTCTACCAGAGCTAAAGCAGTCGAGTGTCGGGACTTACTACGCAGAAGCTCACCGAAGATCTGGAACCTCTACCTCACAATCAAGAAGCGAGCTCAAAGAAATCACTGGTTTATACTAGCTCGTCATCAGGATATTGGATATTGGATCTAGACGGTTCATCTTGTCTCAAGAGGTTTGTCGTTGTACATCTCCTTAATGACTGATTTTCTCTGTCGCGCAACAGAATTTGATCTTGGACAAATATTTGTCCCCACAAACTTCCTGATTATTCGCTAGCCCAAATTTAAGAGTTTACATTATGGATGAGGAGGTGAGTGTGACAGTTACTAATATTTTACACTTGTATACCTTTTACATAGGACCAGTTTGTATCTAAAATGGATGAAATACGGTGTTTGTCTTCAAAACTCTCGGAGATCCGGAGTTTGTATGAAGAAAATATGTGCGAATTGAACTGTCTAAATTCAGAGCTTAAGGCTTCGGAAATAAGAGCAAAACAGCTTGAGGTTCGTCTGCAGAGACGTGAATCGCATTTGCGTGGTTCGCGTGATAAGTTGACGTGTGAGATTGAAATGCGTTCACATCATGAAAAGCGATCGAATCTTGTTGATGAGTAAGTTGTAATTTATGCATACATATGCAGTTGTATTATGTTTAAAACCACGATCATGCTTAGGGTCACTTAAATATAGAATTCTAGTAGGATTTGAAAATTCCTGACTGAGACTGAGTGTGAACATAGAAGTTAGTAGAGAAGTGCAGCAGTTGGAGTTGCCACATTGCATGTAGCACACCGAAGTAGACAACAGAGATAGAAGAAAAGGGTTCAAAGTAGTTTACTAAGCAGGAATGTTAGGGAGAAAGAATAGTAACATGAAAACATGACATTTTGGTGGATATGGGTGATGATAGGGTGTGCATGCATCTGCTCTATTGAGAATGATCTTCAGCCATATCACCAAATGTTTCAGGTTATTGGTTCATAGCATCCCGAGGACACCAACCAAACAGTCTATATCTCCCTCCCGACGTAGCTGGAACTACCTGTAAAAGATTGCATGGAATGATGTGAGGTTTTTGTTTGACCACTTCAAACTCTTTCCCAACTGAATCATATGTCGGTTAACATTCCTTATTGAGGAAGGCGGTAACTCGGAATGTGCAACACGTGTGCTGGTCATATCGATTGGTTCACCTTCACAGCTTGACCGTTCGACTCTCCCTGCTTACCTAACAGTTCGCTTAACCTAAATATCGCTCACCAAATAATGGGATTTAACATGGGAGATAGGACGCAGACACTTATGGTTGAAGACAGGTAGCATTTTTATGTCTTCCACTTTCAGTAGCCATGCGTTACAACGGTAAAGGAGGACGGAGCGAACTGCTGCCGGGCAGTAAACACGTGCTTTGATCAGTAGCCAAATATCATGTCTACACGAGAGACAACGTATGTTGGGAAATCCTACATGAGCCTTTTGTGTGTGTGGTGAGATTCCGTCGGTAATCATTAGTGCATTGCGTCTGATTCAACTTGTCGAATAAGTGAAGTATTCACCACGCTCTGCCACTTGTTTGACTGAGTATCTTTAAGCAAGAAGTTCGTTCACTCTATTACTGTACCATTGTCTTACATTAGATAGGAGCAAATCGCATGAGGAACAATCGAAGACTTCCGCTCAAGGTATTGAGAAGACTGCTGATTTTATCAGTATCTCCATGTAGAAGGGCTATATCATCTGCATAGTCTAATTTGACAGGACAGTTCGTTGATGCCAAGTCAATCCTTAAGTCGCTGAGGTGAAATAGGGTGGACTGCATCAATACGTGTACGGTGGAACCTAAATAGAAGTAGGGACAAGAGGCATGCGTGATGGACATCGCTGGGTGTCACCGCTTGAGATGACAACTCTCTGTAAGCTGTTACATGGCTTGATGAGTATGAGTAGAGTGCGTTAGTAAGTGCGATATTTTTTCTCTGCACTGCCTTGACAATCAAACATTGTCGCAGCACCTGTGGGTCGAAAATGTGGGATGCCGCCTTGAGGTTAAGAGATGTGTCAATTGTTGGATGCCGGTAAGTAAGTCTATGTTCGAGAATCATTTGAAGGATGAAGATATGTTGGAGTCACTGTGTTCTTCCCCGTGTTACTCTCTCCCGAGCACCATTTAATCTCGGCTTGATTTTCGAGCCTAGAACTTCAGACCCCATATTAGTGAAGCTAATCCCCTTTTGATTGATTCTATAGGAAGACTTGTTTCCCTTCTAATAAAAAGGGACAATCAGGGACTTAAACCAGTCTGATGGAAGTATGTGTGACTCCTAGACATTGCCTAATACCTTAGCTAACTGAGACAACGGTTTGTTTTCACCATAGTTAAATACTAGTGGGGTAGTCCCACTGGGGATGGTGCTTCTTTCCCTTGTTTCAGATTAGAGACAGTCTTTGTGATGTGAGTTAGATGTGTAGGGCTGATATCTACACAGCATCTAGGTAGGTGCTGGATGGTGGAAAAATTGAGCGTGGCTGTGAGCTAGTTACATTCCTCTTGAAGATGTGCCCCTCAACGTTCCAGTTGTCTACCTTGAGACTTTCCTCAGGGACTGTCTCACTTGTGATTTGACTTTTTCATTTCTCCTGCTATTGTCATCCACAATTGTTCGTGGTGGTTGCGAAAACTTTTTGAGTTGTCGTTTGAACAGCTTTGGTTCCAGATGATGATGCTTGGGGCTTCCCGGAATCAGTGTTCTCACTCAGTCAGTTGGGATGAAGTAGCAGAAATCCCCTGTGGTTTTGTAAGCTTTGGTATTAGGTTTTTAAAATTAAGAAGAATGTCTAGAAGCATTTGATTTTCATGCTGGTATACTGTCGTAGTGGAAATTTGTAGTTGGACAAGGGATTTATGAGGCAATTTGTTTTGTGATTCAGTTTACAGGAAAGTTTGAAGGATGCTAGAGAGAAATTGAAATCTATGGATCACGTGAGTAAAGAAAATAAGAAACTTTTGGAGGAAAACAGTGGTCTGAAAGCCAAGGTATGTGATGCAGTTTCACAATGGTTATTTCATAAACTATATATTGGAGGTATTATGTGATGTTGTACAGTTATTTGTAAACAGCGTAATGGTGGTGCCTAGTGGTGTAACATTTGCATGTATGCATCAATTATTGTGATGTATTAATTATCGGATTGCTTATGTATTAAATTCCATACTTGAGAAAGACAGAGAAGAGGAAGTTTGACGGAATGGCATCTTTGAAAGTATTTTTCCAAGTTATTTAATTGAAATTTAGATTTTCCCGCCGGTTGATTGGACCGAAGTGCTCGGTTGACATGTCGGGTTCTTGTGCAGAGGCGTCGACAATGTCTAGCCATGTAATTAGAATGTAATTGATGGATGGTGACTAGCAGTGGAATCCACTTGGATGTGCATTTCGTCCTATTTGGAACTCGTCATCTGGATGTGCCTGCTGTGTCCCCAGTGAGTGATGATGTTCCCACCGAGACTCGAACCCAGTGCCCATATAGCTTCAAAGGCCGTCCAACTTAATTCAGTCAATTTGGTTGGTTTTACAGTACTGTTTTTTTGCATGTTTTAAATGCAGACAGATTTTTGTGATAAAGTGTATGACATAAGTGAAGCTAAGAGAATAACTAACATTTGGAACTTAGTGCAGTATACTTAGTTCTGGTTATAAATTTTGTAGTTATAAGACTTTGTTGTACTGTTGTGTTGTGTGCTGAAATAATAAAAAAAAATGGCTGTTACAGAACAATGGTTATTTCGTAAACTATATATTGGTAGTATTGTATGATGTTGTACAGTTATTTGTCAACAGCGTAATGGTTGTGCCTAGTGGTGTATCTTTTGCATGCATGTTATGAGGGAGTAGAAGGAGAATGATGTATATCAAGCATTGTGATGTGTTAATTATCGGATTGCTTATGTGTTAAATTCAATACTTGAGAAAGACAGAGGAGAAGAGGAAGTTTGACGGAATGGCATCTTTGAAAGTATTTTTCTAACTTGTTTATGTGTGAATTGAAATGCGAGGCCATTATGTTTTTCGAAGGTGTCCACTTTGAAGACTTATTGATGGATGTTCCGCTGTTGTAGGACTTTGAAATGATTGCAAGTATATCTTCAAGTGTCGTTGGTTAGCGTATTTGAAAGTGATGCGACTACTCATCGTCACTTAATTTCTTGAAATGAATTTATACACTTGGTTCCCAAGAAAGATCTCGATGGGGCAATATAAAATGACAATATTTTGCTTTGCGGGTTCTCACCAACTGTAGACTAGCTGAAATTACAATGGTTACGAAGGAATTTAAATGAGGAACTTCAATATTGGGATGATAGAAGTGTAAAGGATAAATATGAGGTCATCGGAAATGTCAGCATCACAGTTTTTAGTTGAAGTCATTATTGATCTGTGTGCATTGCGAAGGGGGAAATGAGGTGTAGGAGAAGATAGGAAGATGGTGAACATTGCTAGCCTATGAGGTTGTGTAACAATCCGAAAGAAATTATACTTCACAGGATTGAAATAAGCTTAGTGAGTTGAAGTCACTAGTGTGGCTGATTGTGCAATCAGTGTTACTGCGTTGTCGGTTGCATTAAGTTTATCGCCTGACTATCTGCATTAGTGATTTCAGCTCAATGAGCTAATTTCAATCCTATGAAGTATAATTGCTGTCAGATAGTTACATAAGCTAGTAGGCTAGTAGTGTTTATCATGTTCCTGTCTTCTCCACCACCTCATGTCCCCTATGACAGCGCATGACTTGAGTTTAGTCCAACTTATTTCAGTCGATTTGGTTGGTTTTACAGTACTGTTTTTGCAAGTTTGAAATGCAGACGGATTGTTGTGATAAAGTGTGACATAAGTGAAGCAGTTTTAAGTTGTCGAAGAGAACAGTTATTTTCATCATACGGTTGACTGACTGACAGACTGTCATTCCATTTTTTCTTATTTTGGAGGCGGGTTGTGATGAGTTCAGTGAAATGTAATGTAGAATAGAGATTTGCCGACGCTTTATTTCACATTCATGAGATCGGATAAGGATGAAGTTTGGTTAAGATGATAAGGACAAAGGAGGCATAGCATCGGTATTTGTTTTTGTGTGATAGAAATGTACGAAATATGCGAAAGAGGTGCTAACCTTTTTATCGATTAGTGCGAGGGAAGTGTTTCATGCGAATTTTGTGTACTTCTTTGACATTCGTTACTGGCGTCAGGGATTTGCAAAGAAACCCTTAGAGTGGAAGTTGCACTATCCACCTGATTGATAACTGTCTTTTGCAGTTTTCATAATTGTGGTGTTAGGCTAATGGGTTCATTTGGAAATTGGTCGTATGAGAGTTGGCCATGGGTATTGTGATGTTGGTACATATTTGAATGTCTTTTCTACCAAGTACTTGATATAATTGGTATTACAAGATAACATTTCAAGCGTAACTTACTGTTCTTTGTCATATTGAATTAACTCCATAGGTATGAGACATGGTTTATGAGTGGGAGTAATGGTTTGCTTTGAATTCTGTTCTAGATACTGAGTGATTCTTAGGAATGAGTGGAAACTGCAAACGTGTTTCTTGAGTGTCTATGGTAGACATTAGGCGGCATATGCGATAAAATTGTGTTTTTGAAATGGGTCCGTTACTTGTGAATGAGTGTTGTGGTAGTTGTGTGCATAACAGTTGGGGTAAAATAAAGGTTGGCGTCTGGGGATTTTCGAGGGTCAGGTATTAGATGTAGTGATAAAGTTGATGTGTGTAGATACTTGTGTACACGTGTGCGAAGTCTCATGCTGATGTGTCAATTAGCCCGGTAGTCAGGTGGTTCCTGACAAAAGTATGACGAGTAGGTTGGGATCGTACATGGACAGTTATCAGTACTGACTGGTTTGAATCGTGTTTGATTTAGTAACCGTGTTAGTGTAATCGTGGATATGCAGTGTAAATTGCTTGAGTGAGAGTGTTTCTCAACTATGGAATTTGATGTATGGAAGCTGAGGGAGGATATTTGAAGAATGCTTTATTGTCATGGCTGTTGTGATAAGATTTGTTTGAGGTTTTGGTGAAAGCAATTGTACAGGTGTGGGCCGTGTGAACAAACTCGGTGTGGTCGACATTTAACTAGTCCGAGAACTCATTATGTGAAACATATATTGTGATGCAGCAGGGTAGGGGTGGAGCATTGAATATGGTTGTAGTGTGCAGGAAAATGTCGGTGGATTACAAGTTTTCAGGTAGGTTTTGACAGAAACATATTGGCACTTATGCAGCGAAGAATTGGTGGAAATTGAAGCAGCTATCGTGAGGGGTGTAGTGTAGTTGGCTTCCTTCTGCCTTCTGTTATTAGAAATAGATTAACAAGTGACGGTTTGAATGTATTCACATTAGCCGATTGTTTCCGGTTGAATTCTGTTACCACTTATAACATTCTGTTGTTTTACTTCCTCGTAGTGTCTTCGTATGATTTTGTACGGTAATTTAAAGGAAGCAAATTTAATTTTATGGGACTTTCTACACAGTCCTCCTATTTTGTCACTGAGTTGAAGCCAGCTGAAGCAGATGCTTTCTAAATGGGCTTGCTATAGAATTTCGGAGTGGTGTGTTCTACTCAGTGTGAGGAATCTCGTCTACGAGGCGGAGTGAGAACTAAGTAGTGTATTCGTGTGAGGAGGAGGAGACACTTTCTATCAGCTTTAACTCTTGTTCAGTATAATTAATTTTATCACACAATCGACATAACTTTAGCGAAGTTTAGTGAATCGTCTGTCTGATGACTGTTTAGATTATTCCTAAACATGTTGTATTTACATTGTTGTAGTTACACGAATTGTTGTGTCAGCGTGAAGAACTTCTGGCGAGATGTGAAGCGGAGAAGTTGGCGAAGGAGAATTCTTTGATTCGCAACCAAGGGTGTGTTTCTGGAGCGCCTTCTGGTGAATCATGTAGGGTGGAATTTAGCTGTTCTGGGATGAGTCCACCTTCTTCTCCAGACTCATTTCAGCCAGGAGTGGATACGAGAACTGAGGTTCCTGTGTCAAGTGAGTACTTTTTGTCTCTCTCTTTTTCCTTATTTGAAGCAGTTGTTTGTGACTTGTGATGAATGTTAGTAGCTGGTGAAACATATTGTAGTATAGTTTGAAGTGGAGATGTGACTGACTAGCCAGTTGGCGGTAAGCGCTCGGTTTCCAGGTGACTGGTGACAGGTTGGAGTTTCGTTCCACCTGTTTGAAGCTGGACAACTAACTGGGTAGTATGAACAGCCATCGCAGTATGAATGTGGCTTGTAGTCTGCCTGGTATATGAAAGGTCTATTCTGTATAATTTGAGTTTGAATGAAAGAGAATTTGAAGTATACTGTTGAGTGCGTTCCCATTACTAAGCGACTTTCAAGCCTGTCTGTCTGTCTGTCTGTTTTCGACATAGAACTTTGCACAAATGTGCGGAAGTTCAAGTCGCCACATTCCGTGTAGCACGCGAAGCAAGAGAAGAAAGTACAAGAAAAGCATAATAGAAACAGTGAGCAGAGGTGTGAGACAAAGGAGTAATAAAGAAATACAAAACAGTTTCATTGAAGATCATAAGTCACAGGGAGTGGATGCATCTGCGCCACTGAGAACGATTTTGAGCCATGTCACCAATTGTTTCCAACCATAGATTTTTACCGTCCCGAGGACCCCAGCCTGGAAGTCTACACCTTCCTACGTGGCTTAGACCAACTGTTGTGGATTTCATTGACTGATGCCAAGTTTTTGTTTGACCGCCGCTAGCTTTTTTCCAGCCTGACCCTATATCCGCTAACATTGCTCGTCGAGGGAGGCGATGGCTTGGCATACGTAACACATGTCCTAACCATCTCAGTCTTTGTAGCTTCACGACTTCGTCGATTGATTTCCCCTGTTTACCTAGAACTCTACGCCTAACCTCCATGTTGCTCACCTTATTATGCCACTTTACACGGGAAATAGAACGCAGGCACCTATGATCAAAGACAGCTAGTCTTTTCATGTCTTCCACTCTCAGTGGCCAGGTCTCACAACCATAAAGGAGGACGGAGCGGACTGATGAGCAGTACACCCGCCCTTTGGTCGATAGTCGAACATCTCGTCTACGCCAGAGTCGGCGTAAACTAACAAATGCGAAACGAGCCCCTTGTATTCGTGCTGAGATTTCGTCAGAGATCAGCCCGTTGGGGCTGATGGTACTTCCCAAATAAGTGAAGCGGTCAACGTGCTCTACCACTTCACTTCCTATTTTTAAACTAGGCGTCGATGTAGTCCAGTCCTGTAACATCATCTTGCATTTGGCGGGAGCGAATCGCATGCCAAACATTCGTAGATTGCGGTTCAAGGTGTTTAGAAGACTCTGCATTTCGTCAGCGTCTTCGCCTAGAAGGACTATATCGTCTGCATATTCCAAGTCAACGAGATTATTCCCGGTAGCAAGTCAATCCCTGAGTCGCTGAAGTCACCTAGGGTTAAGTCCATTAACACATCTATGATGAAGTTGAATAGAAAAGGAGATAATGGGCATCCTTGACGGACACCACTGGTCGTCATCAGTTCAGATGACAGCTCGCCGTAAGCCCTCACCTGGCTGTATGAGTACGAGTAGAGTGCCTTAATCAGTGCAATATATTTTCTTGGAATTCCCTTTACAGCCAAGCATCTCCAGAGAACTTCCCGATCGACAGAGTCGAATGCTGCCTTTAGGTCAAGAAATATAATGACTGTTGGACGCCGGTAGGAATGCCTATGTTCTAGAATCTGTCGGAGGGTGAAGATATGATCAATACACCCTCTTCCTGGTCTAAAGCCTGCCTGGCTCTCTCGTGTTTGTGCTTCCCGAGCACCACTCAGTCTACGCATGATTATTGAGCCTAAGACTTTAGATACTATATTAGTCAAGCTAATCCCTCTGTGATTATCACAGGAAGACTTGTCTCCCTTCTTGTATATGGGGATAATCAGTGACTTACACCAACCCGATGGGACTTCTTCTGATTCCCAAACGCTGCCTAGTACCTCAGTTAATCCGGACAGTAAGCTGTCTCCACCGTACTTAAATACCTCTGGAGTCATTCCATCAGGTCCCGCTGCTTTGCCTAGTTTCAGATTGGTGACAGCTTTAGTAACCTCAGTTAGTGACGGAGGACCTGTGTCTATATCCCATTCAGGGAGGTGTTGGATGCTCGGAAGGTTGAGCGTGGCTGTGGGCAAATTAAACTGCTCCTCATAATGCTCTTTCCAACGATCCAGTCGTCTATCCTGTGAGCTAATTATAGTGCCATTTTTTTCCGAGATTGTCTCACTGATGATTTGTCTTCTCCCACCCGTTTCCCTGATGAGTCCAAAGAGTTGCCTGGTGTTGCCTATCCTCAAAGCTTTCTCCATCTCTTTGGCTTTTGTCGCCCACCACTGTTCACGGTCCTTGCGGAGACTTTTCGTAAGTTTCCTCTTGTGCAGCTTTCGCTCCTCATTGAATTCGGAGCTCGCCGGAATAAGTCTTCTAGCATCTATCAGTTCGGATGAGGCGGTGGAGATCCAGTGGTTTTTACTCACCTTTGGGTTTACCTTATTCACAGCTTTTACAGCTGTATCTATGGCTGCCTGGATATTTTTCCAAGCTTCTTCAGGGTGAGCACAGCTGTCGAACACAGATATGTGTTTAGCTAGTTCTTCCTGAAATACGGATTTAGTTTCCTGATCGAGCTGGGGACGTGATGGTTTTACCGCCAGCTGTTTCCTACGTCCGTTCAGTCGTAAGCACACCCGAGCGCGGACCAGTGCATGGTCGGTATCTACGCACGTGTTCCAGAAGGAGCGACAATCTCCTACCGACCCACGCCAACGATAGCTTATTGCTATGTGGTCTATTTGTGTCCAGCGTTGGTTTGATGAAGGGGGTCTCCAAGTCAAACAGTGTCTCTCCTTGTGTTTAAAGTTAGTGCTTACAAGAAACAAATGATTATCAGAGCAGAACTGTAGGAGACGGTCACCGTTGTCGGTTCGCTGGCACGGAGCTCCATAGGTGCCACCGACATCCTTCTCAGATTGACACAATTTCCCTACTTGAGCGTTAAAGTCACCAGCTAGAACGACTATGTCTGAGCGTTTAGCCTTTCGCACCAAACTAGACAGCTTTTGGTAGAACTCATCCTTCGTTTCATCTGAACTGCAGTCAGTGGGGGCGTAGGCGGAGATTACGAAAAGGCATCGGCGAGTAGTGCAGTCCTTCCTCCTTCTTACTGATCCGTTCAGGCGGACAGCACACATTCGGCTATCTACCGGGATCCAGTCAAGCAATGTCTTTTCTGCCCTAGTACTCAAAGCTATCCCTACGCCAGCTAATCCTCGTGAACTAGCTGTGGCATCTCCTGACACCCTCAAGGTGAATTTTGCAGATTCAACCTGTTGGCCAGGTGGGGTTAGGTGAATAACCACACTTGGGTCTTGTATGCGTGTTTCTGAAACACAGCATACATCAATGGCTCGTGATGCCAGGGTCTTGGCTAGTGATGCTTGTTGTCCTATTTGGCAAAGTGTCCTAACATTAAGAGCTCCTATATGAAATTGGTGGCGCGGCTTTAAGAGGCTGTCGGTGGTGGTTTTTTGGCTTCCATCGTTTTTAGTGGACGCAGAGTGGAGAGGAAGTGGAGAGCTATCAAGTCGAGGAGTTGCATCAGTGGAAGGAAGGCAAGATGATAGAGATGAAGATGAAGACAAAGATGAGTGAGTAATAGAGAGGTTTCGTGTGCATTTCGGATTGTGAGGGCGATTGTTACTTCCCGGCTGCCCACACCGTTGAAGTTCGACTTTCAAGCAGTGTGTATTATGGTGAAACAGGTGTGTATATGCACAGAAATCCTTGCTTGAGCTTATCTAAAAGTGTGGGTTTGTTATTGTATATCTGCAAAGTTCTGACTGATTGATAAGCGAGATTCACTGTGGAGGGATTGATTATCTCGTTTGTATGATACGTTTTGCATTTGTGAGGTATATTTTCTGGTGAAGCAGTTATGGTTTCCTTCATAATGTATCTACTTCATAGTGTATCTACTCGTGTCACTTTTGATGGAGTAAAGTGGGTGGGTATTTGTCGGGAAGTTAGAAAATTGAATTCAAAGTGTCAATGAAACAATGTTCGTATTTCTTTCTCTATTAGTTAATAAATCTTCATTGTTGAAGTGATTTAGAGAATGTTGTTCAGCTGGAACGAAAAGCCTGTGTAGTCTTGTGGATGGAAAGAGTGAAATGAGTCATGAATTCAGCAATGCCTTTACTGATTATGGATGTGGTTAATTTAGATTTAATCTGAAGAGGGAAGTTGATTATTGGTGACATTAATTAAATAGTATTGGGGTGGATGTCGTGAGTATTGATGTTATCGTATTAGCATTTATCTTGGAAGAGATTGCCACTTTATAAATGTGAATGTTTGTCGCTGCTGCCACTTACATGAGACATGATTTTCATGTTTCACTGAGTTTTCTCTTCTTGGCGAAAAGGGTTGATGATTAGTTATTTGGCTTCAATTATGAAGAATAGACACCGCGTCAACTAACTTGCTCCGTGTATAAATATCTCGTTGAAGGTGATGTTGAATCATCATTTGCAAGATTAGATTATTACTCGTTTTAATTGAGTTTTAAAGCCTTGCATTATAATCCTTTGTATCTCTTTGCATTGTTCCCCTACTAACTTGCTTACTTCTGTTTGAAATAGATGATTTGGGTTTTGGAGAGGGTTTAGCATCCTTTGTGACGGTAAATAATCATCTGAAAGGATTGGGGTTAGCTGTCTTGAAAGCTGAAAGCGAATATCAAAGTATGAAGAAGAAGTTTATCCTGCAAAAATTCATCTCGTTAGTTCTTCGGGCTGTTGTAAGACATCGAGGCAGTGTAATCGACAACTCAAAACATTTAATTGAGGTAGATTTTATGTAGACCTTTTGTCTGTTTACTAATTTCTTATATTACTGATTTCAAATGTTTAGAGATGGTGTTTATAATATTATCATGAAACACGGAGACAATTTGATGATATGTAACTACATATATTTACATATATATGGAAGAGATTTTCTGTCTCAGACGAGACAGGCTATTCAAATTTCGTAAATACATCCAGTAGGTGTTGAAGTTTACACTGTCTGGTCGGTGGAGAGTTGTTACTATTTCAGGTGACAAGTCGGGTACTCAGTGCTAGTGTAACGCGCTTTGGATTTTAGGCGTGAGAGCCTCCTATATGGTGTTAGTTTTGTTATTTCATGGAAGAAGCAAGAAACTCGTGGCAAGTGACTTATTTTGCTATTTTCATGAAGTCTTATGGATATAGCTGGTGTTGATGTATGCTATCTACCTAGAGGTTCGGTAGCTTGCCTTGAGTTTCGCTCAGTTTTTGTACTTCTCAGAGGTGATATGATCGGAGTCGACACATTCGATTGAGAAGGGGCGTTGGTCATGTTTTCATGGATGCCTTCGGAAACTGATGGCAATGCGATCGATCTGACGTAGGCCTGAGTAGCAGATAGTTGATAGAGACCAGGCAACTTGAGGGTTGGAGAAGACGTTCCACATTATCTGGAGTGTTATCATTTAAACCCCTGTGACCGTATAGACGACTCTCCTCTTACCGTAGATATCCGACATGTTGATTAAAGTGCGTAGCTAGCTAGCACTGCAGTATGTTTCTGATGCGCCTGTTTGTGAAGCTGACTCACTTGTGATTCAATGGCATCCTGGCTGAAATCCATGTATGCATAGGCAGAGATGAAAAAGAAACATCGTTTCAGTTACTAATTAATTTTTCCTCTGATGCATATGCGTAACCAGGCAGCACATAAAACTGTTAATGGGGATGCAGTCGAGTAATGCAGCTTCGGTTGTAGGCCCTAGTGGGATATCAACACCGAGTGTGCCGGATGCAGATGCTGCATGGTTGTTGGATAGACGTATGAAGATGACAGAGCACTTAGACTTGCATATGGCGAAGATATTCGAAGCACTTCAGTGGGATGTTGAATACTGACCTGTGGAATACAGAAAACATGGATAGCGAGTTTTCCGACCAGAGGTGCCTGCTGTTCGATTTGCATCATTGTGGAAACGTTGTAAGGCATCGCATCCCGAGCCGTTAACTTGAGGTGTGATCCTGGAAGCAGTGAGGTGGTGTTTCCATCGTTACGGATGGTGTTTTCTGATTGTGGACCCTGCTTACACGATAAGTTTGGAATGATAGTTTTCCGCTTACTTAGTTGGACCTGATTATCTCCGAGTTTGGCAGAGAGAGCCAGACGTTGATACCGGACGTGTGAAAGCAGTGAATAGTACTTGGCTGGTAGAGGCTGTGGACTGGTGGCTACACTAGAGGTTTAGAAGAGTGAGACCGAAGTCTATCCATCCTCAACGATGCCAGGGGTTTATGTGAGTGGGAGCGTGGTGAGTGTGTTAAGCATCCGGCCACTGTAGAGGAATTCTCCGTTATCTGTTAATTTTAATTGCAACTTCGCAGGCCATGATGTCGCAGCTCACGAGTGCCCTCGATGAGAATGTGTCTGACATCGGAGATAGTTAGCCGCATACACAATGACTTTTGATTAGATCAGCATGATATCCATTGTGAATCCACCAGTATTGAACAGTAGTTGTCTGGTGCACTTTTTGGTTTTCGATAATTCTCTAACTGATACCTTCACGTGACAAAGTCCCCATTGAAATCAATGGAAATGCCTAGAGACCGTGAATTGTGAATAGTTTTCTAGTTGGATTAGTAGAAGGTGTGTTGATGATCGTGCTTTATGTAACTATGAAACTGTCATATCAACCATAATTGATGATAATTGTTAACTGAGTTGAATTGATGAATTTGTCTTGTTTAATTTGTGATTTGTACAGGGTTGTTTGAAATGTGGTTAATACTGTTACTGCTTATCAGGTGAATTTTATTCAATTTTTAGCTTTTGAACAAAGAGATAAGTCGGCGGAATTCACAGATAAATGGAAGACTTGGGAAATTAATTGGACAGGTATGATTGGATTGTATGATTAGTATGTGATGTCTTAATTTTTTCTCCTATTCCATATGCCACATTGTTTCAATTTGATTGTTTGCATATGTATATCTGCATGGGAATTTGATAATTTCGATATAATAAGCGTGTATTGAAGATTCAGTGAGTAGTGATAGTTAGTTAGGGAAGATGAATAGTGTTGGCTTTCGTACAACACAACAGACTAATGACGAATAGAATCAATAATTGCTGCTTTCACTTACTAGTTTGTTCCTAACTAACTGACTAACTAGTTGTGAGGCTTGTTGTATTTGTATGTTGGAGAGAGAGGATAACTTTCATACTGTGTCGTGTTATTTGTTTCTGTGATGTAACAACAGAAGACAAGGGCTGGAAACAGATCGTTTTATTACGGAAATCAACACGTATTTATATATATTTCCTGTACATTATTCTAGCTTATTCAAGTAGACAAACGCAGTCTTCTGATTGGTTGTTTCGGGTAACATCGAAAAGTGGAGCCATCTATCTGCAAATCATATTTGCCCACGCTAAGTTTGCAGTGATTGGCTGTTGAATCAGCCTTGTTCATATTTTCTCACGGCCAATATTAGTGACCTAGACATTGACGTAGATTAATGTCTACCAATTATCTAGCAGCCTGATCTCACAACAGTGAGACATTCTAGTGAAGATGTTACTCATTGAATTCGCCTTTTTATGCAATAGGTAGGTCGGTAGGTAGGTAGGTGTTGGGTTGAGTTGTATTCGACTGTAGCACCTCCATATTATCGTCATCATCATCATCACCATGATGAGCACAGACCTTGAATATTTTTTTTATGAAGTGTATGATGGTAATGAAGAGTGTAGGTATGTACATGTGATATTAGAGTTTGTTGGAAGTGAGCAATCTGAACGGTCACTTTCTCTTCCCTCTACTCAATTCAATCATATCATAAAATAGGTTTCAAATGCCGAGGTGAGATTGAATGATACGAAAGAGGCAGTCACAGAGATGCGGAAGAGGCAGTGTGAAACGATTAGTGAATTATGTGGTGAGAATAGACGGTTAACCGGTGAACTGGGTAGAATCCAAGAGACGAATGAGGTGGTCCTACACAAATGGGAGAATGAAGTGGATTGTCTTATGGCGGAGAATCAGAAACTTAGTGCTGAGGTGAGTATGCATAATTCTCAGTTGATTTTGACTGTATGCTGACTATGATGCTGCTGCATTATTGTTTGTTTCTGGTGAAGGATTGATTTTTGAAGTTGTCGAAGTGTTTGTTTTGTACAAGTTAATCGATGATTTCTGTTTACTGTGGTGAGCTTTTGAAATACTCAGTGTAATATAAATAATAGGTGATCGCTTATCGTCATATCAGGATTCTTGCAGATTCATCAGACTCACTGATTGATTAGGAATGCGTAATTGAGTAGAATTTGTTCCCATTTTAAATATTAGAACAAGACATATAAGCGAAGAATATTGTTTTCAATTAGATCTTCTTCAGTCTCTACTCTAATTTACATAGATTTATATATAAAAATTTTAACCAATGACGGTGATTTTGTGGATCAAATAATAATAATAATAATAAAAATGATAATAATAATAATGTGGTAAGTGTTTTGAACGTCATTAATAATGATGATTATAATGAAGACAAAATATTGGTAATAAGGTTTATGCAGGTGGCGATAAGCATAACAAAGGTAGTTATATGTGTATATGTAGACATGGGAGCGAACTAACCAGGAACCGATTGTGCGATAAATAGGCAGGAAGAAATGGAGATGGATTGGCCACACGCTGAGGAAACCATCAAGTGACATCACTAGACAAGCCATCGCTCGAGTGGAACCCGAAGAAAGAGCGGCCAGTTGATTGTCCAAGGGTGACTTGGAGGAGGTCATGTGAAGAGGAGATGAAAACATGTGGTCAGACTAGGAGCTGGCTGAAAACTCTAGCAGAAAACAGAACGCAATAGAGGCGCCCGGCTGAAGCCCTATGTTCCTCTAGGAATTAAAGGAAATAATAATAATATGTACACAATTCAATAAATAAATTAGTTTGATTTGTAAGGATTAGTTATGTTTTACGGGTTGATCACGGATTGATATCAGTTAGAGAATCATTGAAAACCAGGGAGTACTGGACAGCTGCTGTTTCATCCTAGTTTGGGAATCATCGGAAGTACGCACCCACTGGGATTCGAACCCGGGACCTTCCGGTTACAAGGCAAGCTCGTATACCATACAGCCGCTGGGACCCGATTCAATGGCTCGTGAATTCTAACTTCTACTAATTCGTGATTTAGCGCGACCCTAACCATTGTCGTTGGTGGGACATCCATCCACACACGTGACATCTAATTGGACCTCACTGGTCACGACTTCTCACTAGAACTCAGGAAACTCCGACCTGTAGCAAGTCACTAGCAAGCATCAGATTAACTTTCTATAGTTTGATTTGTAAGAATTAGTAGAAGTTAGAATTCACGAGCCATTGAATCGGGTCCCAGTGGCTGTATGGTATACGAGCTTGCCTTGTAACCGGAAGGTCCCGGGTTCGAATCCCAGTGGGTGCGTACTTCCGATGATTCCCAAACTAGGATGAAACAGCAGCTGTCCAGTACTCCCTGGTTTTCAATGGTTCTCTAACTGATATCAATCCGTGATCAACCCGTAAAATAAATTAGGTCAAATCTTAAAAGTTACGTAATACTAGAGGTGAAGTAGACAGATAATCGGGGTTTAAATAAATATCATAAAAATACGAAAGAGCTGGAAAATAAGAAAGGGTGGGAGGGTTTTGAATAGAATTCACCTAGACTAAGCAACGGAGAGACAAAGGTAGAACAAACTTCTTTTATTGTTTGCAAACACTAGGATTGTTTTCTCGAATTAATTCCCATAGCTTCTTCGGCTAAGTGTAAACGACGGATTCGAATTCCGTTCGAAAGGCTCGGTGGAATGCGATAGATAACTTTGAAGGCACTATTTTTGTCCACTTGGTGACCGTTATCAATCAAATCAGTCAAAATAGAACTTCGTATAGATTTTATTTGACCTTTTCCGAACCATGGAGGAAGATGCTCATTAATGCGTTTGTTAAGCTATCTAGTTGTTCGCCCTATATAGCTAGCTCTCTCCACAGGAGTAACTAAATTTATAGGTACACATAGAAGTAGCACAGTTAGGTAGCTTGTCTTTCACTTGAGCAATCATAACTGGCCGGCAGCTGGAAAATGACAAACAATGTGCGATGGTGGCATTACAAGTCAGTTTTATCGCTCTCGATAATCTCAGATGGAAGACTTCGCTAGCCACGTCCCCATTAAATTTCAGTTTCGTAAACAGTTGTTTCTTTTCAACTGTTGTTAGTTTCTCTTTATTGTACTTGGTGATCATATGTCTTCTTACAAATCTACTAGGATAACGCATTTGGGCCAGTGTATATTTTGGATGTACCCTAACTCATTTTGTAGGGAGTCATCTGTGTACAGATACGTCTTGTTCTGTTCGTGAGGCATCTGACCAAATTGACTTTGTATCGGATTGGCACAAAACTGAGGAAAAGTGTATATTGTCCTACAGATGTAGGTTTTTTATAAACATCTCTCTCGAGTGAAACGTCCTCTCTTCTGCTCAATTGGACGTCCAGGAAATGTAGTTTACCATCATGTTCTTCTTCACAAGTGAAGATGAGCGATGGATGTTCATCACTGAATTTTATTAACATTTCATTCTTGTCAGCTTTCACATCAGTACTTTCATCCGTAGTACTCCGGCTCCTTTATCAGGTCTACTGATTATAATGTTTTCGTCGTACACAAACCAGGACATCCTCTTCCCCCAGTCATAGATATGTCTAATTCCACCTACCATGGAGTGACAAAGTGGCTAGGTGATGGTAGTAAATCATAGTGTTAAAGACGTTTTTGAATTTATTGTTAACTTGGATGATATCAGTGTAAATGGGAAGCAAATGCTTTCCTTAGATGTAGCATCACTGTTTACCAATGTACCACTTATGGAGACTGTTGAATTCATATGCCAACAGATACTAGAAAAACAGTTCGACATCGAAATTCCAGTTATTCGTCTGAAGGAGTTACTTTTAAGATGTACTATGAATGTAAACTTCACATTCAATAACCTTTACTACTGACAAATCGATGACATTGCCATGGGTTCTCCATTGGGGCCAATTTTGAGGAGGATTCAAGTGAGTGACTTGATTAGTTGTCGGAAAGGGGAGATATTATTTTAGTGAGGTACTGCCAACTGATTACCCTTTCAATGTACTTCTACCACCATAAAATTTATCATATATACGAAGACGATAACTTTGTATGTTTTCAGATTTAAATGAATGGCGATTGTTTTGTTTAGGTGACGTCTCTGCGTTGTCATCTTGGCGATAATAAAGTGAAGATGGATGAAGACTTGAAGAGAATCGATGAGGCTGCCAGTGAAGTAGAAAGGTTGAATTTCAGATTTAGTGATCTCGAAAGGGTGTATAATGAATCGAAAGCTGTGAATCATAATCTACGCGTGCAAATGAGTGAGCAAATTAATGCCATCTCGTCATCTGGCTTTTATTAGTTCTATGACATTCAAGACTATTGCTTTTGTTAGAAGATAGGTATTCACTTCACTGCCAGTTCTATGTCTGTCTGCTTGTGGTGGTGGTTATTGTGAACGATTTTCAGATAAGTGCTGGTCAACACAGCAGTCCGGCGGTGAAGTGATCAGCTTAAAATTCTGTTTGCTTCTCTTTTGTAACTAGATCTGCAGCCTGTTTGTTCTGCTTCCGTTTCCACTGTGTCGTAGGATTGTCTGTTGTTTTTTCAGCCGTTTTCTTCATTTGTCTCTTTGCTAAGTGTGTTGTACATTGAATTAGGCTTCTCTTTTCCTTCCCCATCTTTGCATCGATTCATCTTCTGTGTCACCATCCTATTCAATTTTGTTAAATTCTGGGTGGGTGTCCCTAGAAAGCCATTCCTTGTCTTGCCTCTTCTTCTTCCATTACTTAACTTCACCACATTTAGAGTGTTTCGGTATTCTTGTACTTAAGTTGCCTCCTCAGCAATGATGACCCACAATTTTTCCGACTTTGTTTTAATGGCTGCAATGAGTGTGCCCTTCGTGGTGGAGTCGTCGCTCTTTATTTCCCGAGTGTTCAACTTGTTTGTGTTGTGGTCTATTTGCAGTTAATTGCTTTGATGGCTTTTAACCTCACCTTGAAGGTTTGCTCATTTGCATGTAGCGTTAAGGTGAAGCAGTCTCCAAATCACTTCGCCGTCAACACTGTCGAAGGCTATTGCAAAGTCGATGAAGTTAAAGTGGGAATTTGACAGACACGTTATGCTCTGCTCGATGATGTTGATGACAATGCGTACCGCCTCACTTTGTTCCGTACATGCTTATTTCTCCATGAATCCCGGGGGCTTTCTCAAGAAGTCTTTCATCCAGAGCATGATTCTGCTGCTTTTCTAGGACGGACTATATGGCTCAATTTTGTCTTTTCTTTCAGTGAACATGAGTATGATTCCGGCTTGCTTTTTGCAAAGGCTCTAGTTGCCCTTCTTCAGTAGTATCACAAGGAAGTCACCCCTTCTTGTATTCAGTAGGTACGATACCTTTCCTTCCTTCCTTCCTTCAAAACTTTCTCTTATGGTCACGTGTGAATATCTGCTTCAATCACTGGGTCGATCCAGCTACAGAGGACTACAGCGACCAGGATGAATTCGAGATAGTTTTGATAGTCCACTTCCATTTTGTATACTGTCACAGTTATCTAATCCCTCAATTTTACCTCTTCTGATATCTTTTTAATCTTACCAGCCTTCCTTTCCTGGATTATCTAGCAGATATTCCATGCTTATATGTATATTGAAGGAAGAATTATCCGCTGTCAACAGCCCCTTTTTTCTGGAGGCTTAGGACTGGCAAATAAACAAAGCGAGGTTCTAATATTAGTTTTCCAAATATTTTTTCGTTTGTATTTGTCAAGGTACATATCTGCCCACATATCTATTCAATATCCGTATGCTTGCTCAGTTTAATTATTCCTTTTCTCATTTTATTGTTTACACACCATAATATTTTCATTACATAAACTTTTTTCCAGATAGAACGATTGAAAAACACTCTGGCCACTTCTGCTTCAGAATATGAATCTGTTGTCAGTCTTATGACGGATAAACATCGTCGAGAGAAAAACAAACTCTTATCAGACATTAAACTTGCGGAAGATTCAAAGGAGATGGGTTTGCTAGAGGCAGGTCGACTAAAAGCTCTTTTGGAAGATACAAAGAATGAGCTGAGTGATGAAAAGGAGAAGGCGATTCAAGCGTCAACTTTATCACGTGTTTTTAAAAATGAGGTGGCTGAGTTACGATGCGATCTGTCTAAAACACGAGAAAATTTGTTAGAGGCTGAAGAGAGTTTGAGAAGTAGCAATGAGTTAGTCGATCGTTTACAGGCGATGAATAAAGATTTGACAGTTAAACTTTCAGCTGCTGAGAATTCCTGTTCAATGAAGGAGAAAGATATATGCAGACTCGTAACTCAAATCGTTGAACTGGAATCTAAGAATAAGCGAAGTAGTGAAAAGATCGGTGAACTTGAATGTTTTGTTGAGTCAGCGACAGGTGTGCAAAAGGATCTAGAACATCAGTGTGGAGTGTTTCGGAAGCAGATGAGTGAAATGGAAGCTGGCTGGTTGTCTACTCGTCAACAGCTGACTGTGACGAGAGAGCAACTGATGAAAATGGAGGAATTGCTGCATGTGCATAGATTGCGTCTTTTACGTTCAGAGCTTGAGAAAAATGAATTGTGTACACGTTTAGAATTGATTGGGAGGAAAAGTGAAGTTGGTAAGTATCGACCGGTGTTGTGCTGTTTAATTGTGTGTTGTGAATTATCAGTCTTTGATATTGATCATTTAGTAAGTAGAAAATTTTAGAGTGTAGGTGTTGATTTTGTGAAGAGGACTTTTCAAAGTTCGCAGGATATGTAGACTGACTAGTTTGATTTGTGTGCATCTTCTAAATTGTTCGTGTGTAATAGACTGTAGAGGTTGGTGGGTAGGTGGCTGTGTATGTCAAATCTCAGCTTACCCTTAAACTGTTTCTTGTTGAGTTCTTGTACTCAGGACTGTGGAGACATGTATGTTATGGTATGACATTAGTACCGCATACCTGTGATATTGCAGGCGCTGCCGTGTTTCTACACTCCTTGACTCTAACGTCGTATGCAAAATTGAATTTTTGGTGCGGGTTGGCATAGATACACTTGCATCAGTTTTGAGGAAATAATGAGATTTATGTTGATTGAAGTAGGCAGAAATTGGATTTAGTGCAACGTTGAGATGGAACAGTGATTCGATTTCACGAGTCATCCATACCTGCTGCAGGCGAGCTAAATGAGTAACCTCAGATTTGGTCACTCACTGTTCAAGTTATCTTGCCTCACTGTTTGTTGTCATTGTTAGTTGCCACCATGAGCGAGAGGAAAGTCATATTGTACTGTACCTATTATTATCTCGTAGTAGTACCTCGTAGTAAAACTGTCTTCCGATTATTATTATTATTATTATTTTGCTGTTGCTTTTGTTCCAGAAGGCACGGAATTATCCGACGTATATTCTGCACGCAGATCAGTCGGAGAGGTGCTTGGACGACAGACAGACTCAGAAGTATGTTTTTCATAAATTATGTACAGATTTTGATGTGGTTGTGTTCTGTGAGCTGGATACTTAATTTGCGAAGCCGACTTCCAAGGTCACTAGGAGAGATGGTTATTAATCTCGTGGAGAAATCTAAAAGCTCACTTTAAATTAAAGTATGCGCTGAAGATGTCGCCAAGTAGGGCGATGAAAGCTTCGCCAGCTCAGAGAACACAACCACATCCAAATCATCTACTTGAGCTACAAATCTTCTCTGTCATGTGTACAGATTGCTTGAAATGTTGTTTTCATTTTTATGCGCCCGTACATTTACAATGTTATTTCTGGCGAGGAATGTAAACTAGAGTTAGTTATTCCACGAGATAAATGCTGTTAGCACTACATTGTGGAATATCGTGTAGATTCTGTCAACCGAAGTGATGTGATGGACCTCTAGCTGTTGAAGGGGGGATGGAGTTACAAAGATGATTCATTTTCACAGAATGCAGTTTACTTCGTGAATGAATCAGTGGGGTTTGACAGCCGATAGACGGAACGATGATCATAGTGAGAGCTTAAGACACAGACGGGACTGTGAAACAACTCATTAGAAAACTGTCTAATTAAAGTCAAATTGATAATGAATGATCTCATTCACGAATAATCACTTAATTCAACTTAGCATATAAGGAAGACACTAACTGATATAACGACCGGAAATGAGGTTTCATTGATGGTGGATGAGAGTGGCTTCGTTGTAAAACGCAACAGGGTAAAGTAAGACGCGATGATGGTTGATTTTGTGAAGCTGTTTAAATATAGTGGTGATAAATAAGTGACTAGATTACATAGATCTACTAGTCGAAGCATAATTCTCTGTGCTTCTATTAGACTGATACAGAGAGACCATATGCATTATTGATGTAAATGTAAAACTTGTACACTGTGGTTGAGTATAACCCCATTATGGATAAGATTTCATTTTGATAAATCACACAGTGTTGTACAGTAATATTTACGGATGACGTTTCGAGCACAAATAACTGGCCATAATCATTACAAGGCACCCAGACAACTATCTTGCTTCATTTATATATATGATTCATGTATAAAGTATATACTTCCTGTGTTTAAAACTTGGGAATTAAAATTAGACGTAGTGGATTCACTTCATGCCTTTGTAAATCACTAATTATACTGACCATCGAGTTTAAAGTTAGTGAAGCGACTTCTTTTACAATGTTACTGAAATTAATAAATGTTTCTATATTTACTAATTATTTGCAGACTATCTCTTCACAAACTGCTCCTTCACCCAAATTATCGTGTATACCAGAATCCCCGGAGTATCTGTTGAATTCAGTCACTCTCCCTCGAACTCACAGCGCTCATGAGTTAGCCACAGTTCCACTCGAAATAAGATCTGGGAGGAATTCATCTCTTGCTCATTCTGCGACTACTTCCTTCTTGTCACGTAACCATGTCCCAATGGTTGACAGGAGAACTGACCACAGACATAAAACCTCCTCGGCGAAACGATTACATATCCGATTGGAACATGCTGCGTCTTATGATTCAGAAGTGAAGGTTTCTCGCTTTGCAGAATCCTATCCAGAAGTCAAGGATACTTCAAAAGAGACACAGTTTTGAGTGGTGAGAAATCTGAGAAGTCTCTTTGGCGCAAAGTATGGACACGGAAGAGAGAGAGTGAACTACTAAATTTGGATTTTACTGCACTACATACACACATTTCGCTTGTACAGTTTATACAGTTTACAGCTTTACATTTCTCATTTCTTCACTTGATAAATTTGCAGTTAGCCTTTTTCATATTGTATACTTTCATCTTGTTGATAACACCAAGATGGAAGTGAGGATGAATCAAATGTCCCAGAGCTGTTGAGTGCTGTTTTCGCCTGCTCTATCGTAACTGCACATGATCTTTCCTTGTACACATCGATCATTTCATATATGCCATTCATCTGACCCTGAAAGTAAATTTAGTACAGGTTAATTTGCATAATAAAAGGAAATTATGAACGACAACTGATGTTTTCTGTCAGAGACCACAGCTAGAGGACTTGTGAGAGATCAGAGTACAAATCGAATGGCTGTGTGTGTGTGTGTGGCACTCTTAAGTTTAGTTTATTATGTGCATTTTGGAACTGATGTTGTGTTGCTTCCGACTTGTTCCTGTCCTTTGACTCTTGAGAGAAGGATGTTACTTTCACAGGACGCTTGCATAAGATATCTTATCTTGGTGAAAGTAGTGGCTGAAATATTCCGCACAGAAAGAAACACTGCGTTCTTCTATCTCAAGACGAAAATGAGAGAGCAAAGCTGACTAGAAGAACTCTTTTGTCATATGTAGCTTATATATTTTACTTTATCATGCAGACAGGTACAACTAGAAGTTTCGCCGCTAGATTCCTCTGTTCGGCTCACTGTGTCTAAAGCATGGACAGTAAAGGAATTATCCAAGTTGTGAAGAGTTGTGCCGACAGTAGATCAGATATCATCATGCAGACACTTACATGGCGTAGTCATACCAGATGTCACGAATAAAGAGATTAAGATGGTTATTGCCTGTAACGTGCCAGAGTTACATGTGACGATTTATCAAAGGTTCGGGGGAGCTAATGAATCCTGTGCCATGAAAACTCCCTTAAGATGGACATTCTTGAGACTACGCAATAAAATACTCGGAGAAACTAATTTGGTGAATTATACTTTATTTACTGAAAAAACTGGTTATGTTCGAACAGTTTTATAAGAAGGAGTTTGACAAGGTGAGTAGTCATTTACCCATGTCTGTTGAAGATCATCGAGCTCTCAGCATCGTGTCTGAATCCATACAGTTGGTAGATGGACATTACTCAATATGAACTCCATGGCGTCGAGTAGGAGGATTACCCAATAATAGAAAAATGGCAGTGAGTCAATGGAATTCGTTGAAGAAACGCCTATCTCAGGAGTCAGCCTCGCACAAAAATTATACCATCGTAATGTCACAGTATAATGAAAAAGGGTTTGCTGAAACGATAGAGGAATATCATGCTGGTGGACAGGTTTGGTACTTTCCGCATCATTCGATATCCCATCCAAAGAAGCGAAATGAATTGAAGATAATGTTCGACTGCGCAGGAGAGTATGCAGGGATATCTCTGACCTAGATCTGGTAAACGGTTTGGTTGATATTTTTATGATATTTCATCAGTGACCAGTACGCATCATTGTAAATATAGAAGCTATGTTTCATCAAGCGGTCGTTCGCACAGATGATAGAAATGCTCTTAGATTCTTATGGTGGTTCGGTGGTGTCATGGGAGCAGAACCAGCACTCTACAGAATGAAAGTGCTGTACTTTTGGAGTAACTTCTTCGCCGAGTTGTGTGACGTTCGCTTTACAACGGCCAACGCTGATAAGTGTGTTATTCAAATAGCTAGAGAACAGTTCTATGTTGACGATCTGTTTGATAGTGTTAGCACATTCGTTGACAGTAAGCTGATTTATGCCCAGTTGAAGGAAATTCTGAGACTAGGAGGCTCTCATCTGAATAAATGAACTAGAAAGAGCCGAGAATTAATGCGGTTCATCCCTGAAGAAGACCGCTCTATAAGAAACATCGACATTCTTCTATCTAAAGACAACAACGAGAGAACATTGGGCATAGAATGGAGTGTATTGAGTTCTAGTATCTGCTTCCGATCACTTGAATTTAAAGCAAAGCTGACTAGAAGAATTCTTCTGTGATATGAAGCTTAGATATCTGACTCAGCGCCAATACTGCCGCCTACTAAATTAATTCTGCAAGATACCTTGAGAAGAAGATTGGAGTGGAATCCAGACATGTCCGAAGATTTTCTAGCCTCCTGGGATAACTAGTATAAGAGTATTAATTATTTGAACAAAGTTCGGATTCCATGATGCACTTTGTCTACTTCCTGTAAACCGTTTGATTGTTTAACTTCACTGTTTCGCCGACGCTTCAGAGTTCCCATACGGTTCTATTGCATATACGCATCTTGAAGATGTTTCTCACCAAGTTTACTGCTCACTGTTGATAGCCAAGTCTAGAGTCGTACCACTAAAATCTGTTAGGATGCCCGAACTGGAATTAGTAGCTTCTGTACTATGTCTTGAGATTGGTAAATATTTCGAACAACAGCTGCGGATACCGATTTCTTGCACAATTTATTGGATGGATTCATTAATTGTACTTGATTGTATAGAGAAAACAACGAGAAGGTTAGTAAGCAGTAGACTTGCAGTTATCCATGAGATGTCTACACCAGATCAGTGGAGACGTATCGATTGAAGAGAGAACCCTACTGATTATGCTCCACGTGGACTCTTATTAGACAACGATGTTAAGCTTAACGAGTGGCTTTATGGGCCAATATTTCTGAGCGATTAGAAAGAGAATTGGCCGTATATGCGTGGATATGAAAGTGTTGTCTACAGTAATGTACTAATTGACGATAATTGTGAGTCGGATACATTGCGAGAACAAGATCAACTTTTATATAGATTTAGAGTGCTCACTTCATGGTTCAAGATGTTAAGATTCGTCGCCTTCCTTCAGCATTTCATCCGCAATTGGAGACTGAGAATTGATGGGAAACCGAGGTCTGTTAAGACTGACTGAGACAATACTTCAAGCAGCCATGAACAAGTAAAGATCGGTATGCGTAATGGGTTATTACACCATCAACAGTCGTCGAGCGGAGTGATGAAGAAGGGTGTTGCGGGTAGAAACCCGATAAAAAGACTCAATCTATTCTAAATCGAAGACATCATTCGTGTAGGAGGTCGCCTACAGTTATCACGCCTACCCTTTGACAGTAAACACCCAGTTATACTGCCTAGTGAATACTTGGTTACTGATATGATAGTGAGGCATTACCATCTCCAGAACGCCCACGCTGATACTACTCATGTTTCAAATAGTCTTCGAGAGGGATTTTGGATTCTCAAAGGTTTTTCTACAGTTAGAAGTTAGTTTGAAACAATGCTACCTGTGTGTAAGAGAGTCAGTACTGCACCAAGTGTTCAGGTGATGGTTCCACTACCAGAATTCTGGTTGTGAGCTCATGTAGCACCATTCAATTCCGTTGGTTTTGAGAATTTCAGACCGTTTTACTCGAAGAGAGAAAGAGGAGTGGTGAAACGTTATGGTTTCCTGTTTACCTGCCTATCTATTAGGGCGGTCAATATTGAAACGGTGCATAGCTTAGATACTGACTTCTTTCTGCATACCATCTCCAGTTCCGCCGAAGGAAGAGGATACTCGAAGAACATAATTAGTGACGACGGCTCTAACTTCAAGGCAGCTGATACTAGTTTGAAGCAGATTGTTAGAGGCTGGGATCAGAATGAAATAGGTAATAATCTCATAGAGAGAGGATGTGAATGCCTTTTCAACCCACCGTTAGCCAGACATCGTGGAAGTGTACGACAGCGCGTCATACGATCTGTGAGAGGGATTTTATGGAAATTATTGTTTCGAAAAGTAGTGACAGACGAGACACTAGAAACATTTCTCGTTGATTCGGAATGGATTTCAAACAGTCGACCTCCGGAAAAGTTTGTAGACAACAGCGAAGACTTGGATGTACTAACGCCAAATGAATTATTCTTACTTAATAAACAAGTGACATTCGAAGGGACAGAATGCAGTAGAATGTCACTGTATAACAAAAGATGTAAAGAAGCGCAGGATTTCACAGATTTGTTGCATGAATACGTTCTAATGCTGCAAGCAAGCTCCAAGTGGTTGAACATAAAGAGAAACCTACAGTCCGCTGATCTAGTCCTAGTTGATAGTACTAAAACTTGAAGAAGTCTGTGACCAAAAGCTATAGTTGAGCAGGCGTACTACGATCAAGATGGCCGTGTCAGGATATTTGAGATTGAAAATTGCGAGACTAGAGTGGGATCGAGACATGAGAAGCCTACGTTTATTAGAAGGAACAGATAAGTTGGATGTTCCGAATCTGGACGGTGTTAGTGATGGTCGTTTCGTGGGGAGTGTAAATCACACACACAGACCTTGGTCTTAATGGTACAGACAGACATGTGACAGTTCATCATTCAATGTGATCTGACCTGTCTCCCGTGATTATTGTTTAATTTAGGGTAAATATCCATCACCGAAGAACGAATGTTGTATTCTGTCCTTTCTGTGTATGAAAAGTCATTTGCCAGTCATTTCGCTCCACAAGTGATTACTACTCGGTATGGTTTTATCTTTCTTTGAATGATAGTTTCCCTTGTGTTGTTACATTTGTGTAATTGCATTATTAGCTTTATATTGCAGAAATAGATAAAGACGAGTCAGCTGAGTGTTAACTTTAGATAGGCTGGACTCTGTATCGTGAGTATTGATAGTGGGGACAAAATCTGTATGCGAAATGGATTCTACAACGCTTCCCTATTCTGGTGAGAGTGTTACCTGATGTGCAGGACTAAGTGTGTGTGTGTGCACATTTTCTCTCCTTAATATTCGTACAGAATACTAAAGTATTGAAAATTTGCGAATATTAATTTTTGATAATCGGTGGGGTGAACAGGACTGTGGCATGAAATCGGTGCTAACTGATTGAAAGAGATCTGCATAGCATAATACGTAAATTCAATGACTGTCATC